CTGGTGCTTCTCGTTCGTCAAATCCTTACGATCTGTATTCCTCGAAAGTTACTCGTAGCTATTTGTAAATTGTTTAAATAGGGGTTATTATTATTATTCATACTAGGATTCAATATGGATTTTCTAATTCGTAGGATATAGTGCTATCGCTGATCGTGATCAACATACTTAGTAGTAGGTTTTCTTATCAGACTACTAAGACAGGTACATGTATGTTTCCTGATGGTGTTACATTATTGTTTTAAACTATTCATCTAAATTGTTTTAGTGTTATGATGATATTGAATATTTTTACGAGATGATACCTAATTTTCTGAATACATATTATCTGATATCTGATTTACTGTATATTTTTGAAATAATCTCTGGTTACTGTATTTATGTATATGGTTTTTAAGTATGAAATATTTTTATGTTTTACTAGATTAAACTATCATTTTGACTTGAATACATACATGTTTATTATTGTAATTTAGGGGTATTATTGGAGGAAGTATATCAGGCCTAGTCTATGACTTGTAAGAACTTACAGTATGCTCCTCTGCTTTGTGCTCAAGGTAAGTCCTTACCGCAAGCTTCTCTACTTTTTTCTCAGGGTAAGTCCTTACCACATGTCCTTATGCTATATGTATAGTGCCTTACTAGGTGTATAGGTGGGTATATGGTTTTAGGGAACCTATACATTCTAGTGATCGGATGGGGGTAGTGTTCATATTTTTAAACAATGTTTGATGGATTGTTTTTTTCCTGAAGTATTTTATATGTATGGTTTTATACACCGTAAGGAACACACTGGGATTTTTAGCACATTGTGTAAATTTTATTATATTCAGATAGTAGCAGACTTGGATTCAGGGGGACCTAAAAATCCTATTTTTGTACCACTGTATATCTCTATATGCCTTTTTGTTATACTTTGGTGCCACGTGTTTTTTCTACTGTCTTGATATATCTGTATTACCAGTATTTTACTATGTATATGTTTTATAAGGTTTTTCATATATATGTATATATTGATATATAGATATTTATCGTATGAAACTTTCTTATTACTAATTTTATATTATATTATTTTACGGATTTTAACATTGTTTTGAATATGAAAATAATTTTTTGAATAAGACATGTAACTGTCTAGATTTGGGCATAACGTCCAGGCCGGGTCTAGGGGGTTACACCAATAGTAAACTTGTTTGTATTTTCCATACAAGAATGTCCCATCAATTTTGACCACATGCTTACAATATTTCTCAACATTAATGCACTATGGGTAAGTCCAAAAATGTCGGTAGAGTTGGCATTGATCACAAAGCGCTTCATCATTTTGGTATACATGGTAAGTTTCAAAGTCAACAATTATCCCAGGATTCAATCTGCGCACTATCATAAACCAACTTAGTAGTTTATTGTAAGATGCATTCCACTCTCCATGAAGTTTTTTCACGATATTCTACTTTTCCTTCCATGTTTTCCTATATGAGACGATGTACACATATTGCGATTGTATAGCTGAAATCAACATCGTAATAGCTATATGGGAGCTTGCTTTGACCATGGGCATGATGGCTTGTTAGATAATGTCAGAGTCCAAGTTGGAATGATCCTGGTTGATCTCTCCAGCACAACATGTGTGAGGATTGTTGTATATTGTTAGTTCTTATATATTTTTTTCCTATTCTTACTCGATACACGAACCATCTAGTTGCATCTGCTATCAAATTGGACACAATAGCATACATACTTTTCAATGGTGGAACGGTCGACTCTAGATTGAACAAAATTAGGAATGTTGTAATTCTTAATTTCCATCATCGCTTCTTATTTGGATGGAAACTCCATTCCTTTATATAACTCACAATTATTAACTGATGAGTTAAATCCATAGTCACTAACATTAGGCATGTCTGCAAATTCTAGCCTGTACATTTTACCATAGTCAGCTTCATACATGTGTGTTGGAGGTTCGATGTGTACCGTATTTGTTGGAACTTCATCTACATCATTATCGTCGGATTCCATGTTAAATTATAATGATTCTGGCTGAACGAATAGTCCAGTATCAGCACCATCTGCACCTGGCTCACGAATAGGTTCTTCTAGTAGAGATGAGGGTTCCTCTACAATGTTGACATTTAGGTCGAACAAGCTGGTAGCTGAATTCCTTCCCCTTGAACTTGAAGGCATCTCAACATTGAGGTCGAAGAAACTCGTAGTTGAATACCTTCCCTTGGAACTTAAAGGCATCGTGTCAAATGGGTATTACACATATTGTTGCATCGAGGGCATCTCCATATTCAGGTCAAATAAATTGGTAGATGAATGCCTTCCCCTTGAACTGGAAGCGATGTTTCCATAAGGATTGTTTGTGGAGCCACATTGATACAGATCGTACTAGTTGCTAATGAATGTCTTCCTATTGAACTTGATGTGCATTTCCCATTAACAAGTTAAAATCATTACACATTACTTGAGTTGGGCTGTCAACTTGATCAACTTTATGAGCCAACCCATATTGGGAACATAATGACAAACCACAAACAGCATGCACTTCAACAAATGTCACATACATCTTTGTATCAGCGCCTGAATATTGATTATGAGAATAAACCATTATAGAAACATCGTCATCGTTGGAGAGTTCGAACGTTGTATAAGCTAACGAAAATATTGCAGTTAGAAATTTTTACTGAAGTGGGGACAATCTTGTAGTACTTCCAATATAAACCTTCTTTGAAATTTTAGTGATCAGCTCCTCACGAGTGATGTTTCTCTTGAAAGATATTTTGAAAGAATGATTTGATGCGAAGACAACGCCGATTTCATATTCCGGAAATTCTCAATCATAGTCAACAATAGATGAAATACGCGCCATTTTGAGAGTTTGAAAGATTGAGAGTAATATATCTGGAAAAACAATAGTTAAAATATACATAATTAAATAAATAGTATATGAATTAAAATATAAACTAATCCAAGAAATATAAAAATTTTCACAATAATTTAAATAACACAATTTTATATTGTTACTGTATTGACAAAATGTCTCGAGGTATATCTCGCCTTCCAATTTTACAACCGTAAAAAATAATACAAAATAATTAGTACAATAAAATTTATTCAAATAATTAAATCTAAAATAAATATAATATAATAAAAAAAAGTTTTAACTTATAAAAACAATAGCAAAATCTACTTAGCTTGATAGAATGAATTGATAGAAGTGAGAATAAGCAAGTAATTTTGGTGTGGTGATGTTTGCATTCAGAGGGGTTATTTTATAGGGGAGGGGGATCGTTAAAAAGTCGAGTTTTTAGGCTCGGGTATTAATTGAGTACCCAATAATTCAACGTGCATAATGAAAGGCACGGATCATGAGCCACGCCTTCCGTACGTGTTAGACGTTCAGCGAAGGCGTAGATGGTCATCCGCGTCTTTCCTTACGTGGCGCCAGCTCGGACAGAACCCCGCGAAGGCGTGACTGATGATCCGCGCTTTATTGCCACTGTGTCAGAAAGGCTGTAGATCGGTAATACTAGGAGAGAGAGTGTCTGACAGGTAATTATTGGGTCTAAGGGTGATATTTCGACAGAAACGGCAATTTTATAGCCCAAAAAAATTAAGATTTTTAATTATATACTATATGAATAATTGAATCTATGTATATAATGTAGTAGAAGTATAAAATATGCATAATGTCATAAAATATAAATTTTAAATATGATTATTTTGTCAAATTAAGTTTTATGTTTGAGTTTGGATATCTCAATATTATCCAAAAATTCGAATATTAAAAAAACTGGACATCTAATTTTTTAGATCAGATACAAATTGCAATTTTAATGATATACATTTTTAGATATCCAATATTTTGAACCAAAAAATATATACCCTTAACAAACAGTAATTATGTGTTTACATAGTAATAGATGCTGCAAATTAGGTTTTCACTACAAATGTTGGAGAAAGAGAGAGAGAGAGAGAGAGAGAGAGAGTGGGGGCTCATATGGGTTAGATAAGAGAGAGAGAGAGAGAGAGAGAGAGTGGGGGCTCATTTGGGTTAGATAGCGACCATTCATTAATTGAATTTGTCTTCGTCATAAAATGCAAAGGCTTTGCCTGCCATGAGTCTTTTGAGGGACCCTTACTGCCAGCCTGTTACATTCTCTCACACATTAAAGATATTATAAAGATCAGTTGAATCCATCAATCACTAATCATAGTAAAATACACACATACATGAAGAGCTGCATAAAAATGATTTCATCATGATATGATAAAGTTAATGTCACATGAGGCATGAATGAGTAAGCCAAAGCTTAAATGCCTTACTCACACTTCATAACGTGACAAAATCCCAACTCCCACATACAGACAATCCCATGGCCGGCTACCCTCACATACCACCAAACTCCAACAGAAGTTGCAGCACACCCTTTCCCTTTATAATTACTTCTCACACACTCTTCTTCTCTTTGTTCGTCTGTCTTTCTTTGATTATATTAGTAAAGGGAAACCAAAAGGCAGAAAAGGGTATTCAGAATACGGGGATTAGACCCTTTTTGTAGTCATGAAAACGGTTGTTTTTTAATTTGGTTTATTGCAGCCCCTATCTTTAGCAACTGAAAAGACTGGTCTTTGATGAAAGAATGGTCTCTTTTGCCGAATTTGACTTGAGCCAAGTTGTTTTACTTTTGGGGATTGGAGTTGCTTACTCCTCTTTGAGCAGTCCCTTTTGGCTTTCCTTTGTTAGAAGAAAATAAGATTCTTACAAAGCTGAACAGTCATTTTTCCCTGATACATTTGCAGAATTCTCCCAAACTGTACTATAAATTGGTGGTTCCCCGCCCATTACCGTGTGGATCGTTTCCCAATGACAAGGTACTCACTGTTAGTCTGGTCATTTTCTTTCTGCTTTCTTCTGATTTCTGATTCTTGTTTTCTCTACTCTTTAATTTTGTATTCTCTCTATCTCTCTCATTTTCTCCTTGATGCAATTCATTGAAATCCCACCCTTGCACCAAATCAGTTCATTTCAATCCACACAATGACCAAAAACCAAATTCATCGGGCTCGTCCATGGCCTGGATTCCCTACCTCAAAGGGTTTGGGCAGCTTTGGTGATGCCAATTGCATGGAGCAGCTTTTAGTGCACTGCGCCAACGCTATAGAAAGCAACGACGCTACACTAGCGCAGCAAATTCTTTGGGTTCTCAACAACGTCGCACCACCAGATGGTGATTCCAACCAGCGCTTAACATGTGCTTTCCTTCGAGCACTTATCGTCAGAGCATCCAAGAGTGGCACTTGCAAAATGCTTGCAGCAATGGCGAACGCTCATTGCAACCTGTCTATCGACATCCACACTTTCTCTGTCATCGAGCTGGCTAGCTTCATCGACTTAACCCCTTGGCATCGATTCGGTTTCACGGCAGCGAATGCAGCGATACTAGAAGCTGTTGAAGGGTACTCGGTCATTCACATAGTTGATTTAAGCTTGACACATTGCATGCAAATCCCTACATTAATAGATGCCATAGCCAATAGGCTCGAAGGACCCCCATTAGTAAAACTCACAGTCGCTGGTGGTGCCACTGAAGATGTCCCGCCAATGCTCGATCTTTCTTACCAAGAGTTGGGGTGCAAATTGGTTCATTTCGCTAGGTCCCGCAATGTAGCATTGGAATTCCAAGCGATTCCATCTAGTTACGCTGATGGATTTGCTTCTTTGATTGAGCAGCTTCGGGTTCAACATTTAGTATATGCAGAAAGCGGTGAGGCTTTAGTTATAAACTGTCACATGATGCTTCACTACATACCAGAAGAAACTCTGTCTTCACTTTCTAATGTAAATTCAAACCCTTATTCATTTGAATCATCGTCCACTCAATCTCTTCGAACCATGTTCCTCAATGCGCTTCGAGTGTTGGACCCGGCAATTGTTGTACTAGTAGATGAGGATGCGGATTTGACATCAAATAATCTGGTGTGTAGATTAAGGTCTGCTTTCAATTATCTATGGATACCCTACGATACGGTGGACACTTTTCTTCCACAAGGGAGCAAGCAAAGGCAGTGGTACGAGGCTGGAATTTGTTGGAAGATAGATAATGTGATAGCTCATGAAGGTCTGCAAAGGGTGGAGAGGCTCGAACCGAAGAGCCGGTGGGTGCAGCGGATTCAGAACGCCGGTTTTCGTCGGGTTAATTTCGGTGAAGGCACCATCTCGGAAGTGAAAACAATGCTTGATGAACATGCAGCTGGATGGGGGTTGAAGAAAGACGAAGACGATCTTGTACTTACTTGGAAAGGACATAATGTTATATTTGCTACAACTTGGGTGCCAGCTTGAAACTCATTTTTCTCATGAAATTATAATTTGAATATTCTTGTATTAGATAGTATCTAATTTTATTCAAATTTTGCTAGCATTTGACTACTAGCTAGGTTGTAGTTATACTACGGTTTCTTTTAAGAATGTGTGTGGGAGTTTATATTTGTATTGCTGATTTCTGATGCCTCTATTTGACATTTATCTTCAGTCCGAGTATGATAGGTTGAGGGTTCTTAGAAAAAATTTTGATAAAAATTTTCAGTTATAACTTTTGTATTGGAATATGATACGTTGGGAGCAACTTCTTCTATGTTTAAATTAAACTCAGAAAACTTATGTATTTGTTGGGCAGTTTAATGTTCGAGATAAAATTATTAGAAGAAACAGTTAAATTGCTTAATAAATAAATTTGATTGAATTATTAAAGATTAACAGTATTGATATGATACGGTAAATTAAATTATTTAAATTAATTAAACAAAATAATATCGTTTTGAAATAGAAAAAATGTTTTTTAATTATCTTCCTTGGAATCACGTGGTTGAGAGTTTAATCCCAAAGTCATTGGTATTGTCATAACCGTCTTTCGGGTGGGTTCGGAATCGGGCTTCGACTTAAATTTAATGTGTTAGAGCCGCCACCGATTATTTTTAAAAAAAATTAAGTTGACTGGACACCTTAATTTACCATCTTACCTGATCCGCGTTTTACCAGAAATATATCAGATTCGGGAGTCGAATACAATGAAGGAAAGATTAACACCCTTGTACTTCCCTTTCGGTACCAATTTAATTTATCTATTGTCTTAATTGTGAAAATTAAAAGTTAAATTGAAATTTAAAGATTCGATTTGAATTACTTACCTTTGATAGATTAAAATTACGCCTAAAAAGATCAAAGATGTTAGATTGTAAAATAAAATAAACAAATAAATATTAAGTAAATCAAAGAGAAGAAAATCAGTTAAATTAAAAAAATAAGAAAAAAAGAAGTAAAAGAAAGAAAAATATAAAAAGAAATAAAAAGAAATAAATTAAGAAAATATTGAATTTTATAAAAGAAACGAAATAAAAAAAAAGAAAAAAAAAAGAAAAGATTAAATTTTGAAAGAAATAAAAAAATAGAAAAAATATTAAGAGTGAAAAGAAAAAAGATGTTAATAAAAATACTAAAAAACATGTTGAAGTGTAAACGAAAAAAATAGAAGTAAATAAATAAATAGATAAAATTTAAAGGATCAAATTGAACTAAATTGAAATTCATAGATCTAATTTATATTAAAAATGAGCTGCAAAAAAAACAAAAGGTTAGGGGACTAAATCGCGAAATATAATAAATGATTAAATTTAATTAATTGAAAATTCAGAGGCAGAATTGAAATAGGTGACTAAAATGAACTACACATCAAAAGTTTAAGGACTGTGAAAATAATTTAAAATTTTTAAAATTACAATGTAGTCCTCCCTATAAATAGCAAAATAATCAGAAAAAATATTTATTTTCACTCTTCCTCTCAAATGTTAAACCCCTCCCCCTCAATATTCTCTCAACTCTCCCTTAGCAGGTCGAATGCCGACCATCTCCCGACGAGACAACACTACCCGGATCGCCGCCTCCGTTGGCAAAAAAACCCACACTTAACCCAAACGTTCCTCTCAACCCCGTGAATATGAAACCAAAGCTCGATTGCCCCCAAAAAGGCCTCAATCGGTGTAGATATAGATTTAAAGTTTCATTTTTTTACTTTAAATCGACGACTCTTTGGGCTCTGGCGGCCTTTGGTTTCCCCATAACCGTGCTTTCCTCCGCCTAGTAAAACTGAGGATTAAAGCATGGTTTTTTATGGGGTTTTTCGGTATATACCAAATGATTTTGGACTTTGTTAATACTTCGTTTTTGGTATTTTGGTGCTTGATTTCTATGATGCTTTTCGTTTGGTTTTTCTTGCTTATGTTTCTATATTGCTATCTTGCGTTGCTGGGTCTTTTCGCTCAATGTCTCTTGTTCTTGACAGGTTAGGTGGGGGTATTTATACCCCACATCCAGTTATTGTTTCCGCTCCTAACGTAGTTGTTTCCCTCGTTCTATTTATTTTTTGGGTCGCTCTGACGTTCGTGTGACCGGCAATCCCAGATGGTTCAGTCCCCGGCCGTTTAGCCGAGAATCGCGGCCAATTATTGCGCATGACTTCCACGTGTGCACCATCAGCTGCTTGCTATCTGCATCCGGCTTCCTAGGGTTTACACAACCCTAACTTACTGTTGGACTTACTAGGCTGGGTCAGGCCCCCTAACCGGGCTAGCTTGTTGGGTCAGGCTTGCTGGCTGAGTTAGGTTGCACTCTGGACTGAATTGGACCCGAATTTGGGACTTGGACCTGGACCGAAATAAAAAAATAAAAATGAAATAAATAAATAAAATAGATAAATAATAATATATAATAAATGTAATAATAAAAGCTATATAATATTATATTACATGTTTTCAAAAATTGTTTTAAATATATATATATATATTCTACGTTTTCAAAACTATAAAAAAACTATATATTATATATTTTCAAAACCATTTCAAAACTATATTATATATGTTATCAAACCCCTTTTTTTAAATTATATATTATACGTTTTCAAAACTATTTTAAAAACTATATACTATATGTTTTCAAAACCGTTTTAAAAGCTATATACTATATGTTTTCAAAACCGTTTTAAAAACTATATACTATATGTTTTTAAAGCCGTTTTTAAAAACTATATATTATACGTTTTCAAAACTATTTTTTAAAAACTATATATTATACGTTTTTAAAATTATTTTAAAAACTATATACTATATGTTTTCAAAACTGTTTTAAAAACTATATATTATACCTTTTTAAAAATAAGTTTCCAAAAATTATATATTATATATTTTCAAAAACTATATTTGAAATTATTATATATATACTATGCTATATAATAGAGACCTCGGACGAAAATAAGTGTCAACAGCTGCCCCTCTTTGCCCATTTATAGTTTAACAAGAAATTGGGCAAAGATAAAGGGACACAAATTTTCGTTCAGGATTTGCAAGCAAGCTTGCTGTCGATCTTTGAGTTAGAAATCTGACTCAATGTTGCAATCAACTCTTTTATCGAATATCCTCCATCGCGAAGTTGATATTCAACTTAAAAATAGGAGATGACTTCCTGTTGTTGAGCCGCATTACGGGTGACTCATTCGTCATAGAGTTGAGTTGATCTGGAGATGTCTTTGAACATGATATCATTCGTCATGAAGTTGAAATTATGGTTGACCCCTTCGTCCTGAATTTGAATCAGTTGAGGATGACATCCTTCTCCGTGAATTTGAAATCTAGCTCGATGTCTGGTATAGGAAAAATATCCTCGCCATCTTCTTCAAGCCCAATACCTTTCATCGTGAAGTTAGAATTTGAGTAAATGACTTTAGTTGAGAGATAGTTCTCCGTTGTTGCAGATGACTCATTCGTTGTAAAGTTAAGTCGATCTATTGGGAACGATATCCTTCGTCCTGAAGTTGAAATCATGGGTAACTCATTCGTCGTGAAGTTAAGTCCAGATTGAATAAATTTGCCTTGGGTCAGATATCCTTTATTATGAAGTTGAAATCTAACTTGGATATGCTGCATTGTTTTTAATCTTGAGTTTTCCTTGAGTTCAACATTCTTCGCCGTGAATTTGAAATTAACTCTGACAAAAATCTGTAAAATTATGCATATATGCGATGTTATGGATGCAAATGTTCTTATATATACCTAAAATGCCTATGCAACATATATTATTTTAGTGTTTAGAGAGAAATCTCAATCTCTTGATGTCATTCCGGATGATTCTTGATTCTTGAATCTTGAATTTCTGATCCTTGATCTTGGACTCTTCAATAGGCTTTGATCTGATATACATTTTGGGAACTTGCCAAAAATAATTTTTACTTCTAGTCTTGATTTAAACAATAAACTAGCCTTCAAGCCATTCTTTCAAGTTCGAGTATGGTGCAAGAACCTTTATTAGCTTTTGAACACTTGTATGTTTAGGAAATCTTTGTGCAGTAATACGCAATGATATTTTTCAAAGATAAATAAATTATTCTTATTTTATTTCAATGGAAAATGCTTAAAAAGAGTTAATTTAATTTCGAGAAATGACAATATTTATTTATGTGGATGAAATTGAATACATGGCAAATATTATGAAAAAGTCAAGATATTCAGGAATACAAGTATGTTCCCTAGATCTTCATAATGCAAACGCTTTTGAATTGGTGCATCATTAAGTGACTTTTGAGTGCATATTTTGTCAAGGGAACTTCGAAGATATGACAATGTTTGGAAGAGTGCATAGTTTCTCCCAAATTACCAAATTTCTTGTAGACTTATATGCGCAATGTTTTATTGCCTTGATCTAGGACCTTCCCATGCGTGAATCCTGGATCATTATCCAAGCTTCCCTTTTCAAGTTTTCAACTTGGATTATCCCTTGGTTTCAAGATGCCTTTTGCGAGTTTTTATCTTGGACCCACCTTACTTTTTTTCTTTTAAATTTACAACACCCTTTCGGGTTATCACTATAAACGTTTTTTTAAATTCAACTTAGGGCGCCCTTGCGAGTGTTCACCTTAAGTGAAATACTTCTTGACTTCGTCAGAATTAACGAGATTAGGTAGTTCAGGCCCATCCATTTCATTCAAGATCAACGCTCCTCCGGAGAAGGCTTTTTTTACGACATAAGACCCTTCCCAATTTGGCATCCACTCTCCTCTAAAGTCTTTTTGGATTGGCCATATATTTTTCAATACAATATCTTATTCATGGAATACTCTTGGGCACACCTTCTTTTTGTGTGCTCGGATCATTCGTCTATGGTAAAGTTGACCATGATGAATGGCTTTCAATCTTTTTTCTTCTATTAGGTTCAATTGATCTTATCGAGTTTGCACCCATTATGCATCATCCATTTTAATTTATGACAAAACCTGGAGTAACGGGATCTTCACCTTA